TCTTCTGCGTATGACCACAACTTTGCATAATGTTCAACTAGGGTACTATCTATTAGTTGGAGTGCCCATTTCATAGCTTTCCTTCATTTGACAACACTTATATGAATACCAAACTTTTGTGACAAATCTGTTCTAAGCTTTCTAATACTCATCTATTGTTTAAGTAAGAAATATCTTGTATAATGACTCCCTATCCAAGCATAAGTGACCATGGACCCTAACTTGTAGTTCCTTGCACATTTGTGAGTTGGCTTTAAAGACTTAATTTGGAAGCTTGATCCATCACACATCCAAGATGCCTACAACCTAAATGTGCATTCACCCATGCAACACTTACCCAATAATCTTTTCCTATCATTTAACTCAAAGCAAAGTTGGTACCCATTGGTAACAACATAGTTACATAACATATATTTAAATTGAGCTGGATCTTTGAATCTCATACCAAGTATTGGGTACTATGTTTTCCATGGAGTTGAGTCATTAAAAGTTGAATGTTATTGAGTTACATTTTCCTCCACTTCAACCCCTTCAGCATCATCACCTATGTTATTATCATTTCCTTCTTCCTTATCACTAAATAATTCAGATAGAAAATCATCACCCTTTGTTATGTTATGTCTTCATCATCATTAAAGTCCACCTCCACATCTCTACAATTTTCATTTTCGTCTTCATTTTCACCACCATCAATGCATGAGTCGTCACCATGTAATATTCGGTTTCTCTAAGGTAAAACTTTTATAAATAATTCTTGGGTTTTGGTTGACCACGATGTTATGAAGGCTCACCACAACTTGGCCATGCTAGAATGTTTGTATGACTTTAATTAGCCCCCACTATGTGGCATTTTTAGCCACGATGTGAAGAGCGGCTGAAACATTAAACCCTAATTTATTGGTTATTCAAAGGAAAGAGGGAGGCTAACCCCCCCCCCCCCCAAGCCTTCATCACCCTTAAACATATGAGTTCATAACCCTAATCTCCTTCGAAACTTTTGAGCTTATTTGGGCCTTTGTGGGTGGTTATTCGCTCCTTCTTGAAGAAGAAGAAGACTCCATTGGTGTATTTTTTGGAGCAAGCAAGCTTCTTTCCATCATTGTTGTTGGACTTTTATAAGTTGTCAAGCTTTTACCTTTCTATTTCAAAGATGCTAGATCTAGGTTTTTGTTCTTATTTCTTCATGTTGGGTTGAGTGGAATGCATGGAGTCCATAAAGTTGGAAACTTTAGGGATTATTAAGGTCCCATTGCTATTATATGTTTCAGATCTGGAATTTAATGCTATTTTGAGTTCTATGCATGAGATTTTGCATGGTATTGCTTAGTTTTGACCTAAGTTGGGATCTAGACTTCTTTTGGGCATGAATGTTTGAAAAAGAAACGATCTTTGGAATATTTAGACCTTAGTAAGGATTCTAGAAGGTTGGGGCTTAACAAATTATGGGCTAGATCTGTTAAGCTGCTGGAACCCAATTCCCATGACGTGACTTTTAGATGCCATGACGTGGCGATCGGGGAATCCCGACTATTTTATCGTGAAGTGCCCACGATGTGGCAATATAAGGACACAATGTACTTACTTGTCCAGCTGACGTGAATCATTGAATTTTACCATGATTTTAACGAAGTGTGACTTCGAGGTATTTTGGGCATATTGAGTAGAAGTTTGAGACTAGGTCCTTTGTTGATGTATAGGTGACTTGGAGAGTCTGCAGTTGGAGTTGTGATATGTTCAGCTATCTTTTCAGTGGAATGAGGTGAGTCTCCTCACAGTACTTGCAGGTCGAAGGCACTAACACCGGCCTATTGGATTATGTTATAATATGCTAGTTATCTTTATAACTCTTGAATATGTTGTCTATGTATGTATGTATACTGGGAGGGGCCCGATGCCAGGCGGTGCCTGATGAATATACCAGGTGGGGCCTGATTCCGAGTGGTGCACAATGATGAATGGGGCCTAATATATGTATATATGTCGGGCGGGACCTGATATTGGGTGGGGCCCAATGACGGGCGGGGCACAATGTATGTATGCATAATATGTGTGATATGTGGTATTTTAGGGAACTCACTAAGCTTTGTGCTTACGGTTTATGTTTATGGCTTTAGGTTTTTCCGATTCGAAAGGGAATGGCCCGATGTGACTGCACAACATCCCCCAAAGTTTAATTTTGCATTGCTAAATTTTACTCTGATGTTTAAATGCTATTTTTATCTTGAATGGTTTTTTGAACAATTTGTTACATAAATTGTTTTTTTTTTAAAATGAAAACTTTACCTTAGATTTTAGGACATTACAAGTTGGTATCAGAGCCTTGTTTTTAAGGATTCGAGCATGCTCTCGGGTGTGTTTGAACTACAAATGAGGATTTGGTAAATTTTTCATAAAAAGAAATGTTTTTATTAAAGGATTTTCTAACAAAAATAAAGGGGTGTGATGTGTGCAATCGACCGAGCCCAAGTAAGCGAATCCCATAATACCCATACATGTTGATATGTTATTTGATATGAATGTTGGCATGCTAGATTAGGGCTAAGGATCTACTAAGGATTTCATGCTATGAGACATGCCTTTATATGCATGATTGTTTGAGCTTTTGAAATTGCATGCTAGTATGTATTCCAGATGATTGGATGGATTGGCCTGATATATAATACCTTGTAGCATAAGAGGATCGAATGTTATGCTAGAATTGGAATATGTAATGATAGAACTAATTGTTGAATGTATGCTTTAAAAATTGTATACGATTAGGATCATATAGCCCTAGAATGACTTTCATGTTCCTTGTTTGGTTGTGGCCCTAGGATAGAGTCTTTTATTCTAAAGTCTATTTGATCCTGTATTGTCTATAATTTGCACAAATAAGGCAACCGGCAGTGAGAATAGAAGGTCCTAACATGGGTTGTAGTAAGTGAGATTTGGATGTTCTTTGTTGTTATGTGGTTTGGAGTGTTACTGCACGAATGTTGCTTGCTTTGTGCTTTGTGGAACTCTTAGTGATGTAAGTTACCTATTGAGGTGATTATGTTAAGTCGCATGTTGCAATGGTTAAATAATCTTAAAGTGATGGATTTGACTCTATTTCACAACTCTCATTTGAGTCTAACCATTGTAGGGATGAGTCTTTTACTTGAAGGATTATCTAATTTGTGTTGAATGTGATTGTATTCATGAAGTAGTTAACTGACACTATTGGGAGTTCTTCAGTAGCTGATGGCAGGGTGAGGTCGGGAACATAGGACCACCTAGGAAGTTTTGTAGCCGATTTTTATGCACTGTTCAGCGGGAATGTGGGGTACTAGTTTGAGAAAGTGACCTGGACGATTTGATATAATTCTTCACGAAAGTATGGAGAGGTGTGGAAGGTAGTATTGGGCCTGTACTACAGAAAGCACATGATCCATACTCAAATCAAGGAGAGTCATGAAGAATCTAGGGAACCTATGGATTGAGGATTCTTAAGTATGTTCTAGTCATTTTTATGGTTGCTTTATAGAATGGGGATGAACACGCATGGAGGAGGTTTAGGTTCTGGTTCAGGCTCTAGTGCAGGTGTTGACTCGATTGATGATCAGATGTGGGAGTTCATCTCGTTAGAGATCACCCGTGATATTTTAGAACAGACTCATGTGATCTTCAGATTGGTCAACGAGGGGATTATGGAGATTTTGGAGGAGTGTCTAGGTGCATTCTGCATTGAGATTATGGATAAACTGGGAGCTCGCACTCTTTCCTTCCGCGAGTTTCATGCTTATGGAGCTCCCAAATTCTGTAAGAAA